CAGATACGGCTCCCACATTCAAGGCCAGACTAAACACTCTTTAGCCACTGTAGCACCAATTATTGCCTATGGTTAGGTTGTTTGTCAGGTTTTGGTTTTACACACTAGGTGTGTAATCCACAAAATTTGGTGCTGTATCCTGGGCTAGCCCAAGCCCGGCTTGCTGCTGTTTTCTCCTTCGTTCGACACTGGTCCCCCCCCCTCCACATTCAAGTAAGGCTAAAAACAGTCGTTCTTTAGTGTTAGCATATGAATAGGGAAGGTAAGGCTGCAGGGAAGTGCTATGACCAACTTTGACTGTCGTCAATGCTGCGAAGGGAGTAAGTCAGCTGAAAAAGTAATGTATTTTAGCCCTATCCTCTCCACCTACCTACTTTAAACAATCTGCATTATTAGGAATTGCGTCTGTGGCTACAGTAGGTCCCACTTCGTTTTGGTACGCCTTTCACGCGTGAAACACACCAGACTCACGTGTGATTCACAGCGTCTTCTTGATTTATTTTTTCCCCAGTGATGCTGCAATGACCCGAACACCACCAGTGGCACTTGTGAGGCAAGGGTTAGGAAAATTGCTTCACATCGGTCTATGTTCACGTTCCCGTACAACTTTCTGTGGCTATTATAGGCTCAATGATTAAGAGGTGGACTCTGGTGTGAGAGGACTCGGGTTCAAGTACAGTCTACGACGACTTTGATTTGTTGACGTTAAATTTTTCTATAACAACTTAGAAATTAGCCAACACATTTTAAAATAAGTTTGCTAGACTGTATTAAACTGTTGTAAACCTTCACAATCTCACCAACCGAAACTGCAGGAAAAAAATGCAACCTTAATGTCAGTAACAGAGTAAACTGATTCATATAACTCCCCCCGCTAATAAAATTTGAGGATTGCCGGGCTCGCACCTATCTTCCAATCGAAAGACTTGACATCCCACTACGCCACACAGCTCGGAGAAAACACTGATAATACTAAAGAGCGCTGAGTGAATGAGCCGTGCTATTGCAGGACGCTTAAAATGCCTTATATGCAAGTTAATGCAAATGTATGCATAATGATCTGCTACTCCTGTGCATTTTAGAATTCTTAATTAAGTGGAAGCTAATATGTAACATGTAAGTTTAAATTTTGTATAGCTAATCAATACAATATAGTATTCAGAATAATCCGTGTACCCTTCAATCATCAGTTATTCCGTTTCACAATAAAAATCCACAGAAAAACAAATATTCATTCGTTTATTGTATTTTCCTTTTCTAATTCAAATGGAAAATCAAATCCTTATAATCCGTGTACAATCCGTGTACACTTCAAATCATTAGTTATTCCGTTTCAAAACAAAATCAAAAAACAAATTACTTGGTTGTTTGATTGTATTTCCATTTTCAAACATTAATAGGAAAATCAAAACATTCTAAATGAAAATATGGGTCACCCATTTCTTTGCTATGCAGTGGAAACGAAAAAAAAAACCCTGACTAAAACAACTTCCATTATTTTGTTTGATATGCTACCGAAATGATGAGTGTTATAAGACGGAAACAACATCAAGCTGCACTCAACTCAACTCAACTACACGGACACAACTCGTCGCTGTTGGTTGAGCTCGCCCCCAGGCCCGAGCACCCAGGGGCAAAATGCATACAGCACCTAGGTATTCCCAGGCGGTCTCCCATCCAAGTACTATGGGAAAACTTTGTGGGCGCTGCTCTTAAACAGAGAGAGCCGTCTATTCTCCTTCATTCTGGATTAACTACGCACTCGGTAAGTCCCTCCTCTGATACACACAATGTTTTTGTGGCGTTCTTTAAGTTTCCACTCCATAATAAATAACCACGAATAAGGGGGAAGACAACGAATTCAATCTCTCATAAATGTGCGTAGATCGTTCACACACGTCTGTAGTTTAAAATCTCGAGTGTGGATTGCGCTTTTATGATTGTTTACCTCCGTGTCATATGTTATTTGCTGCTGCCTCGTCGAAGATCTCTCTGTTTGGATCAATATTGTAAAGAAAACACTTCACCTGCTTGTGACAAACAAACTGTATCACTGTATTCTACTGTATACAGTAATTCCAGTTTGTTGTCCGTCTGGTTTAGTATGTAAATCCAGCGCTAGCAAATTAATTAGTAGCTAAATATTGTTGATGTTGTACATCTATATGTATTTCACTTTCTATAGTTCCAGCAACACAATGAATGAAAATGAATAATATTGCAGTAGTTTACGACAATGAATAAGGTGTATTACCAGTTCATATTAATCCATCAATAACCTGTATCTTAACTGTATCCCAGAGCCTCATGCTGCTAATGCCAGAAGTAAACATACAACTGTATATGTCATCTCTATATTATACAGATTCATGCTTCTTTATAATGCAAATGTAATAATTTTATTCTGTTAGGCTGCAGATCCAGGACTGAGGTTTTAGACCCAGGACTGAGGCTGCAGATCCAGGACTGAGGCTGTAGATCCAGGACTGAGGTTTTAGACCCAGGACTGAGGCTGCAGATCCAGGACTGAGGCTGTAGATCCAGGACTGAGGCTGTAGATCCAGGACTGAGGCTGTAGACCCAGGACTGAGGCTGTAGATCCAGGACTGAGGCTGTAGATCCAGGACTGAGGCTGTAGATCCAGGACTGAGGCTGTAGATCCAGGACTGAGGTTTTAGACCCAGGACCGAGGCTGCAGATCCAGGACTGAGGCTGTAGATCCAGGACTGAGGCTGTAGATCCAGGACTGAGGCTGTAGATCCAGGACTGAGGCTGTAGATCCAGGACTGAGGCTGTAGATCCAGGACTGAGGCTGTAGATCCAGGACTGAGGCTGTAGATCCAGGACTGAGGTTTTAGACCCAGGACCGAGGCTGCAGATCCAGGACTGAGGCTGTAGACCCAGGACTGAGGCTGTAGATCCAGGACTGAGGCTGTTTATCCAGGACTGAGGCTGTAGATCCAGGACTGAGGCTGTTTATCCAGGACTGAGGCTGTAGACCCAGGACTGAGGCTGTAGATCCAGGACTGAGGCTGTAGATCCAGGGCTGAGGCTGTAGACCCAGGACTGAGGCTGTAGATCCAGGACTGAGGCTGTTTATCCAGGACTGAGGCTGTAGATCCAGGACTGAGGCTGTAGATCCAGGACTGAGGCTGTAGATCCAGGACTGAGGCTGTAGATCCAGGACTGAGGCTGTTTATCCAGGACTGAGGCTGTAGATCCAGGACTGAGGCTGTAGACCCAGGACTGAGGCTGTAGATCCAGGGCTGAGGCTGAAGATCCAGGGCTGAGGCTGTAGATCCGGGGCTGAGGCTGTAGATCCAGGACTGAGGCTGTAGATCCAGGACTGAGGCTGTAGATCCAGGACTGAGGCTGTAGATCCAGGACTGAGGCTGTTTATCCAGGACTGAGGCTGTTTATCCAGGACTGAGGCTGTAGATCCAGGACTGAGGCTGTAGATCCAGGACTGAGGCTGTAGACCCAGGACTGAGGCTGTAGATCCAGGGCTGAGGCTGAAGATCCAGGACTGAGGCTGTAGATCCAGGACTGAGGCTGTAGACCCAGGACTGAGGCTGTAGATCCAGGACTGAGGCTGTAGATCCAGGACTGAGGCTGTAGATCCAGGACTGAGGCTGTAGATCCAGGACTGAGGCTGTAGAACAGACCTGGATCTCAAGTTGCATATGTCAATTATGTATTAATTTGATGTGCATGGTTTATTTTATTTTAGCGACTGTTGTTACTCTCTGAAAAGATGAACCAAACACCATTAGAAAAACAAGTGAAACGTGTGAATTTGGGACTTCAATAAATCCTGGAAACCGTGAAAAGATAATGTTGACTTTTCTGTTTCTTTTCCTGAAAACCATTAAGTGATTCGATTGAGGTCCACAAAGTCTTTTATGACCTGACTGTTAATTCCTTTTGACACAAACGAGAAGACTGCAGAGAGTCAGATTCAATTTGAGGGTATTTACCGTTCATCCAAATCGGGTGAGTGTTTTAGATCTTAAAACTGGGGTGTGTTTAATGTGTACCTCACACGTCTGGAAAATGTATCAAATATTCACTTTTTAAAGGGACCCTACTTTTTTGTCAGAATCTGTGATTGGACACAAACAAGGGCAGCCTGGCCTTAGCCAATCGTACTCTCCGGTCAATAATCATGTCCTGCATGTAACGTCTGGGTCTGGTCCCTGTGTTTGCGATTGAGTCGGTAGAATTCCAGCCGACCAAACAGCGAGCGCGGGAGGCGGGTGGTGTTGGTGGGTTGTAGTCATGGATCTATTATAATAACAGTTGTAGTTTGGTAATGGCGAAAAGGGTGATAGTAAAGTATTGGGTCTTGTTCTATCTAGAAATTGAAGCCGGAGCAAGAGGAATGTTTAGCAAATGTAATCCCTAGAAAAAATTGTGACGCTACTCCCCACGGGCTCCGTTAGCAGCAAAGGAGATGACTAGGCTAAATGCTAAATGCTAACGACTCACTCGGGCGCATTACGGTAAACTCAGATCCAATTGTTTCAATCTGCAAAAGGAGTTAACCCCTCCCACCTGTTCACAGAGCTCAATGGAGCAAATCCAGACCTTAGTACAAAATGTAATGTGTACTATGGTGTGGTACGATCAGGCTGAAACGAGGGCTGTGTAAATCCTTGTATCTGGCAACACGATACGCATCACAATACAAAGGTCACAATCCAGGTCTTCAGCAAAGCCCCGTTTCCACCAGCCCTTAAAGGCCTTATTTCCAAGTAGACCACAACAAACCAGTTTCCAGCAACACTCTGGTACCAGTGTGACCTGGATAGAACCAAGCGGGACTAAAGAAGGACCTGGTACCGGTTTGTTGAACCGCTTCCAATCAGGGTAGAGTAGAGTAGAGTCAAGTCGGGCTGGTGGTATGACCTCCTGATGTTGTGATTGTTGTGTGTCTTCCAGCTGACCTCCTCTGGTGTGTGTGTTTGTAGATTGGGTGCGTGTCTTCAGCTTCAGCGTTGATGGCCTCCTCTCTCCTCGCGCTCCTCCCGATGCTGCTGGTGGCGTGTGTGGCCTTTAACCTGGACCCCCTGGTGTCTGTGGTGAAGAGGGGCAGCCCTGGGTCCCTCTTTGGTTTCTCTGTGGCTCTGCACCAGGACCTGACCACTGGAGACTACAGGTGCGCAGACTCACCACTCACCACTAGGGGCGCACTCTCAACACACTTGAATTCGTATTAGAATAGGATTGGGTGCTTTTCACGACTGGTTTATGCCTGGGGGGCTCAAACTTTTTAGCAGCGGGGCCACTTTAGCTCATCAGACGTGTGCAGGGGCCGACAACATTAATTAATAAAATCTTTAAAGTGAAGTCAGGCTGTTCTCACCCTTTTAAAACGTTGGAGCTGAAGTTGGTTGCATGACAAATGTTTACTCTCAAACCAGCTACATTTACAGAAGGAACTAATGTTGTGACACTAAAGACTAATGTCAGTAAACACATATAAAGTAAATGTCTGGATTCCAGGGGTTCTGAGCTTCACAAGGAGGCTCAACATGTCTATATGGCTGGAGCTGAAGTTGGCTGGATGACGCTGTGGTCTTGCACCACAGGGGGGCACATAACATGGCACAGAGGGCTTTAGTTTGGACTTATACAGACTGTGGGGATGCAGACTGGTCATCACTGTGATACACACTGACATCTCCACTGAAGCGTGTGTGTGTGTGTGTGCACCTGTCTGTGTGTGCGCTTGTGCATGCATGTGTGTGACAGGAAATGAGCCCAGATTTAAGAGGACAGCAGCACGTCATGTTTTTTGTGTTTTGTGTGTGTGTGTGTGTGTGTGCGTGTGTCTGTGTGTGTGTGTCTATCTGTCTGTGTGTCTCTCTCTCTGTGTGTGTGTGTGTATGTCTGTGTGTGTCTGTCTGTCTGCTGTGTGTGTATTTCTTACTCCTTTTCTCTATTTTTCATCTCTATTCTTTATCCATATCTTTATAGATTTATATTTTAGAACCAACCAGATAATACCGCGTCAGAGAAGATAACACTTCTCACAACGGAGAAACGTCACATTTGGCCTCAAAAAGATCACTCAGGAGCAAATAGTCAGGAAATGTGTGAAACGGTAAAGATATTGTTTGAATGTATTTCTCTGGATCAGCTTCCACAGTGGAGCTGGTCTCTCTGGGTTCAGTCCTTATAACATGTAAGTATGAAGTATCTCATGTGCATTAAAGGTGTTTATGGACAGGTTTGAGTCCAGGCACAGGTCTTCACTGAGTATCAAGTCCGACTCCGGCCTCAGTCTGCTCTACAGTCTGCTCTACGGTCTGCTCTACAGTCTCCTCTACAGTCTGCACTACAGTCTGCTCTACAGTCTCCTCTACAGTCTGCCCTACAGTCTCCTCTACAGTCTGCTCTACAGTTTGCTCTACAGTCTCCTCTACAGTCTGCTCTACAGTCTCCTCTACAGTCGTCTCTACAGTCTCCTCTACAGTCTACTCTACAGTCTGCTCTACAGTCTCCTCTACAGTCTGCTCTACAGTCTCCTCTACAGTCTACTCTACAGTCTGCTCTACAGTCTCCTCTACAGTCTGCGCTACAGTCTGTCTGCTCTACAGTCTCCTCTACAGTTTGCTCTACAGTCTCCTCTACAGTCTGCTCTACAGTCTCCTCTACAGTCTTCTCTACAGTCTCCTATACAGTCTCCTATACAGTCTCCTCTACAGTCTTCTCTACAGTCTCCTATACAGTCTCCTCTACAGTCTGCTCTACAGTCTCCTCTACAGTCTGCTCTACAGTCTGTCTGCTATACAGTCTGCTCTACAGTCTGCTCTACAGTCTGTCTGCTCTACAGTCTGTCTCCTCTACAGTCTCCTCTACAGTCTGCTCTACAGTCTGCTCTACGGTCTGTCTGCTCTACAGTCTCCTCTACAGTCTGCTCTACAGTCTCCTCTACAGTCTGCTCTACAGTCTGCTCTACAGTGTCCTCTACAGTCTCCTCTACAGTCTCCTCTACAGTCTGCTCTACAGTCCGCTCTATAGTCTGCTCTACGGTCTGCTCTACAGTCTACCCTAAAGTCTGCCCTACAGTCTGCTCTACGGTCTGCTCTACGGTCTGCTCTACAGTCTGCCCTACAGTCTGCTCTACAGTCTGCTCTACGGTCTGTCTCCTCTACAGTCTCCTTTACAGTCTGCTCTACGGTCTGTCTGCTCTACAGTCTCCTCTACAGTCTGCTCTACAGTTTTCTCTACAGTCTGTCTGCTCTACAGTCTCCTCTACAGTCTGCTCTACAGTCTGCTCTACAGTCTCCTCTACAGTCTGCTCTACAGTCTCCTCTGCAGTCTGTCTGCTCTACAGTTTCCTCTACAGTCTGCTCTACAGTCTGCTCTACAGTGTCCTCTACAGTCTCCTCTACAGTCTGCTCTACAGTCCGCTCTATAGTCTGCTCTACGGTCTGCTCTACAGTCTGCTCTACAGTCTGCTCTACGGTCTGCTCTACGGTCTGCTCTACAGTCTGCTCTACAGTCTGCTCTACAGTCTGCTCTACGGTCTGTCTCCTCTACAGTCTCCTTTACAGTCTGCTCTACAGTTTGCTCTACGGTCTGTCTGCTCTACAGTCTCCTCTACAGTCTGCTCTACAGTTTGCTCTACAGTCTGTCTGCTCTACAGTCTCCTCTACAGTCTGCTCTACAGTCTCCTCTACAGTCTGTCTGCTCTACAGTCTCCTCTACAGTCTGTTCTACAGTGTCCTCTACAGTCTGCTCTACAGTCTGCACTACAGTCTGTTCTATAGTCTCCTCTACAATCTCCTCTACAGTCTGTTCTACAGTCTGCTCTACAGTTTGCTCTACAGTCTTCTCTACAGTGTGCTCTACAGTCTGCTCTACAGTCCCCTCTACAGTTTCTTCTACAGTCTGCTCTACAGTCTGCTCTACAGTCTCCTCTATAGTCTGCTCTACAGTCTGCCCTACGGTCTGCTCTACAGTCTGCTCTACAGTCTGCCCTACGGTCTGCTCTACAGTCTGCTCTACAGTCTCCTCTACAGTCTGCTCTACAGTCTCCTCTACAGTCTGCTCTACAGTCTCCTCTACAGTCTGCTCTACAGTCTCCTCTACAGTCTGCTCTACAGTCTCCTCTACAGTCTGCTCTACAGTCTCCTCTACAGTCTGCTCTACAGTCTCCTCTACAGTCTGCTCTACAGTCTGCTCTACAGTCCGCTCTATAGTCTGCTCTACGGTCTGCTCTACAGTCTACCCTACAGTCTGCCCTACAGTCTGCTCTACAGTCTGCTCTACAGTCTGCTCTACAGTCTGCTCTACGGTCTGCTCTACGGTCTGCTCTACAGTCTTCCCTACAGTCTGCTCTAAAGTCTGCTCTACGGTCTGTCTCCTCTACAGTCTCCTCTACAGTCTGCTCTACAGTCTGCTCTACGTCTGTCTGCTCTACAGTCTCCTCTACAGTCTCCTCTACAGTCTGCTCTACAGTCTGCTCTACAGTCCCCTCTACAGTCTCCTCTACAGTCTGCTCTACAGTCTGCTCTACAGTCTCCTCTACAGTCGTCTCTACAGTCTGCTCTACAGTCTGCTCTACAGTCTCCTCTACAGTCTGCTCTACAGTCTGCTCTACAGTCTCCTCTACAGTCTGCTCTACAGTCTGCTCTACAGTCTGCTCTACAGTTTGCTCTACAGTCTCCTCTACAGTCTGCTCTATGGTCTGCTCTACAGTCTGCTCTATGGTCTGCTCTACAGTCTGCTCTACAGTCTCCTCTACAGTCTGCTCTACAGTCTCCTCTACAGTCTGCTCTACAGTCTCCTCTACAGTCTCCTCTACAGTCTGCTCTACAGTCTGCTCTACGGTCTGCTCTACAGTCTGCTCTACGGTCTGCTCTACAGTCTGCTCTACAGTCTGCTCTACAGTCCAGTGCAGTGAGAGAGAGAGTCAAGGGGCCAGTCCAGAGCGGACCTGGCCCTCCTGACCAGAACCCTCCTGACCAGAACCCTCCTGACCAGAACCCTCCTGACCAGTTTGTTCCGTCTGTTCCTGTCCCGCTCACATGCTAATCCCAATCTCTAAACCTTCAACTACAGACCATAAACATGTTGTGAAAGTCTTCTGTATTCAGTCCCACCTTTAAGTTAAGAAAGGTCGGAAAACGAATTGACTGCAAGGCTGATGAGTCATCTGGACATCACAGACTCAGGAGAGAAAAACAAGTCCACAGTGAAATGTTAAAAATATGTAAAAAATAAAAAATAGAAAAGGTATGTCCCCTTTAAAAGATTAGCCAAACATCTAAAATGCCCTTTGTTTTTTCCATTGGTACGATACAATACACACCCACTCCTCCCCCACATGTGACCGCTCTCCTGGACCTGACCCTGGACATCCTAAACTACCTCAGAGGACACACCGGTCACCCAGCTCTCCTTGGTCTCCACGACAACGGCCTGTTACCGCTCGCTAATTAAATGAAGACACGGCTCGTCCTGGGGACATAACATTTCATGTTCTGCTGAAGACACGCCCACTGCTGAACACATCACAACAACAATACAAGAAACCCACTGGATTGACAAAATCACAGACTCCATGAAGCTCCATGAAGCTGGCATTTTAGATACTTGTTAGGACGGAATCTAAAGAAGTGTATTTTTACTCACTGAATGTTCATAATCATAAGATGGTTTATTTTTCATATTCATCAAAATTCTTGAGTTTCTTCTGAACTATGCAACTTTTTATGAGGGGAGAAAATAATGTTTTTCTGTTTGACCTTGTAGTGAGGGTGAGTCCGGGATGGAGCCTCACCCTCTGGTCACGGTTGTGTGGACACAGCCGAGCAGAGGTCAGATGTGAAGAGTTCATGTAAAAATGTCAAACACTTACAAAGTTACTTATCACTTGTTTGAAGGAGATGGAGGACGACTAAAAACAAGAACACACAAAAAAATAAATATTTGTTGGACATGGTCAGGCCAGGTCCCTGTATAGAAAGTACTTAGGCGCCTTAAGGGCTATATACAGTTATAGATCTCTGCTCGATACTATCTTTCACTTGATCGGGTCCATCCATCCATTCATTTTCTTCCCCTTAATCCATTTCTGGGTCGGGGGGTGGCAGTCAGAGCTGCACCCAGTACACAGAGCACCAGCCCCTCACTGGTTCTCCTGCAGGAGGTGGGTCCACAGGAGCCTTGATCTTCCAGCGGGGGCTTCAGGCAAAGTGGGGTTAAGTGTCTTGCCAAAGGACACAACGACAGCAGACATCAGTGGGAGTTGTGAAGTAGATCTTATGGTGGGCTCGAACCCACAACCTTCAGGCTCAAAGGCCAATGCTCTACCAACCGAGCCATTGTCGCCCCTACTTGACCGGGTGTTTTTAAAAATCAGTTCAAATCCGATGCAAAGAATGTAGTTCATATAGAATGTTAAATGTGGTGCCACTTCCATGTGAAGGACAGACCTCTGAAGCTAAGCAAGCCATGACTTGGTTTATACTGTGATGGGAGACCTCTGGAAACACCAAATGCCCAACTCTCTTTGTGTCCTTAGGCAAGACATTTCACCCACATTGCGTAGAATGAATCCGGTGTATGTGTGTGTGTGTGTGTGTGTGTGTGTGAATGAATGGTTGGCGGTGGTAGGAGGGCACATACTGGTTGCCTCACTTCTGTCAGTGAGCCCCAGGGCAGCTGTGGCAACAAAAGTAGTTTACAATTAACGTGTATGTGGTGAATGAATAATGACATGTGAAGCGTCTGTGGGGTATAAAACTGATGCATTATTTATTATTATTATCATTTGTATTGTTAGGGATTTTAAAAAATCTATTGTCGGCGCAGTGTTTTTGTGCATGAGCAGAATTCCAAAGCTGAGTTGTAAAGTGAGGCCTGTCTGACTGAACGCTCTGAAATGGTCACCCGTGTTTTGTTCATATTCTGTGGAAGCAAAATTGAGTCACATGACCAGCCGCCAAGGACAGGAGTGGAATTAATGCAAATCAAGAGCACGCCCTCCGTCTGACATTGTCTGTGCCGTCTGTCCTACGTCCACGGGCAAACACACACCAGGACTGTTGCCATGGTGATTACATCAAACCCAACATAACAACAGCATTAATCTCCAAGGACTTCACTAACATTAACCAATAATTACCTTTCCCTATTCGCTTTAGGATCTGGTATACCATCAACCTTCCCACAACACACCAGTATCCGTGGAAATTTCTAGGTGTACAATCACTGTCACTTAGAACACTTCAGTACCAGATTGGCCTGGATAGAACAGAAGCAGGTACTATTGACATGCTTGCAATCCCACTCCTAACCAGTGGGGGTGGACTCAGAAAGAGAAATATCCAATGGCGTCTTCTTTCCTCTCAAAAACCTCTTTACAGGATGGTCCAACGCTAAGTTCCAGATGCTGTCAATGCTGAGGCGTGTATATTTTTTTTGGACCAGTCTAGTTTAGCCGCTGTGGACTTTTGAAGGCACTCAATAAATAAATGGGACTAGTGCAGCCAACGCATGCGCAAATGCACTTTTTTAACATTTCCTGCACCGCACCATTTTGAAACTGCCCACAGAAAATGATTAGTTTCAACCGCGTCGACAGGCGTGACGTCCGGTAATATTCACAGTCTATGGTCTGGTGGAAACAGGGCCCTTTGTGTCTTAAGTGTTCCAAATTCTTCTTAAGGTTTACTTGTAATTTTTTATTCTAGTTTTGTGAAGCCTGAAGTCATTTCAATGTGGCAATGCTCGGGAAACACTGGAGCACCAGAAGCAAATTTGTCCGTGAACCATAGAGCGTATACTAGGAGTGGATTGACCGAGTGTGACATCACCACATTGTTAGCCGAATGTGGACCAGGCTGTTTGAACATAAGCTAGCTGGAGAAAATGTCCTTATATGGGCTGTTCTTTTCAAACAGCTTTAGCTTTGCCATCAGGGGCCTACCAGTGGGGCCGGGGGGTCCCGGCCAAAATGACGTGCGCTGACATGCTTGCAATACCACCCCGGGCCGATGGGGGTGGACCCGGAATAAGAATTAGCCAATGCTAACATATAGCATCTTCTTACCTCTCGAAAACGTCTTTACAGGATGGACCAAAAGTTGGCTCTTGGTCAAAAGCTCCGTTCCACATGTGTGTCAATGCTGAGGGGATGAATGTTTTTAGACCAGTCTAGTTTACTCCCTGTGGATTTTTGAAGTCACTCGTTTAAATGAATGGAGCTCGTGCAGCTGACGCATGAGCAGATGCGTTTTTTCACATTTTCCAGCCCCCGCGGCCATTTTGAATTACTCCATGAAAGCCCAATTTTTGGCCCATTAGTTAGAACGGCGCAGATAGGCGTGACAACGTCCGTTAATATACACAGTCAGGGGCCTACGTGTTTCTAATGTGGTTAGCAAAGGATCAATTTGGAACTTCCCTCCATGAATGAAGGCATGTGATTGGTCAATCCTTACATGGCTCATATCTGGATTTAAAAAGACAATATAATCACAATATAGACACCAGGATCACAGAAAGCACTAAACCACAGATTTTTTAGACCAAATTGGTGAGTGTGACACAAAAGTTATTGAGCTACAGGAGATTACTTTCCAATGTAAATCAATACGGGCCAAACTTTGTCCATGAGCACTTCTCTATTGGGCTTCATTGTGTTAGCGGGTTAGCATTGTCCATGTGTGTACAGTCTATGCAGTGAACTTGGAGATGATGTAGTATAAAGATGAAGTGACACCACTGCTGTTGCAGGTTGTTGGTGGGAGCCCCGACAGAGAGGGCGGAGCTTGGAGTCCCGGCCAATCGCACTGGAGGCGTGTACCTCTGCCCGATCAGCTCCGACCAATCAGACTGCACCCGTGTGAGACTCATCGACCCAGGTGAACACCAGCCTCATGTTGCATTCTTGTGATCTCAGTGTGTTTCTACCTGTGATGTCACCAAATTCAAAGACTATTATGGATATAGAAAAGCAGTTCTATAAGACTGTTGAATGATATTGATAAGAAGGTGTTGTCTAAAGCAGTGTTCCCCAACCTTTGTGAGCTGTGGCACATTTCTCACAGAACACGATCACAGTCACACCACCTGAAGCTGACACACGTGAAACTCTGCAGATTTTATGAACGAAGCAAAGTCATTCTCATCACAGTGTTTTATTCACAGTGTCTTTGTGTGCTTTTTTTTCACGTTACTTTGACCAATAGCTGATATTGGATCATTTCCAAAGCCACGTCAAATAACATCTTAAGGCACAGTAAAGTTTAAGAGCACAACTATGTCATTTCATTTATTCTAAAACGTGAATCCAAAAACGTTATTACAAAAAGTCAAATAAAGAAATGTATTTGTTGGTCTAGTTTGTGGCACCTTTGATCCAAACTGTCATTAAATTCAAATCATCCTTTTGTCCTTCATAAAAAATAATTTTGCAAAAAGTGAGTTTCTGCTCTAATGCAAAGAATGTTTTCTGGATGTGACATCACTTACCTGACTGAGAGTGAGAGCTCTGTTCTTATCAGAGCTGCAGACTCAGAGCATTATCTGCACTTAGCACCACACTCTCCAATTATGTGTCCACTGTGCTCCTGTATCTCCTCATCCTCAGTCTGACTGATCCAGGTCTAAATAGATCCCAGCAGACCTCAGAAGCTTCGCAGGTCAGGGCCCCAGGGCAGCTGTGGCTACACACAACTGAATACAGAGACTGAATTATGGAATGAGTGTGATTTGATCGTTATTATTAACCCTCCATTTGAAAAGTGAGAGGTTCTCCTCCCTGTCTCCACATACTCTCTGTGCTCACTCTACTTAAAGCAGTGGTTCTCAACCTTTTTTCGCAGTATTAGAGTGAATGATATTTGTAAATTCTTGTCCTTGTGTCTGTGTTTCACTGACATGAATATCATTTGAACAGACAAAGAAGGATAAGAGTGAGATGCTTGAATCTGAACAGAGCCTTCAGTTTGGATGGAGCAGTCAAAGTGACGGCTCTGGGAGTCTTTATGCATGTGGCACATGTGTTCCACAGAGCAGCTGCATTCTGAGGACCTGATAGAAGACATGTGGCTGGGTGTGACTGTGGCCAGCCAGGGTCCGCCTGGAGGACGGGTGCTGGTATGCTCTGTAATGCTCGTTTGTCAGGTTTGAGTGAATGAGCATCTGTTCCCTGACCTTCCAGATGTGTGGCCATCGCTTTGCCAAACTCTACGGAGCGTACAGACTCCGGCACATGACCGGTCACTACTACGTCCGAGGGAACGACCTGCGCTACAACGACTCAGACGCACACTGGCAGAACCCCGAGCAGGTCTGCAGGTAGACCCTCAGGCTAAGATTTTAAACCATGTTTCAGCTCAATGTTAAACCTCACTTTCATCTCCATATTATCTTCATCTATATCAAGGATGTCAAACAATTTCCAGAAAGAGCAAGAGCAGACCAGACTCCACCTATTTCCTCAAATCTTCTGGTAAAACTTGCTGCACCTGAGGAAATGGTTGGAGTCTGGAATGCTCCTGCTCAGGTTGGAATAAGAACCAGCCCTTTGGGGGAGTGGTTTGACCCCTTAAGCCTAGCGTACATCGACAGAGAAACTGGAGACAACTAGTTGCAAGGCGGCTTTTGGCAACTGAGAGGAGATGATGGAGATGATCAGTTGCCGAAATCGGTCGATGTGAGCGCTCTTACAACGGGAGATAAACAGTCGGTCTCCAGTTTCAGTCAGTTGCCCATGTTCTACTTTTCGGCAACTAGTTGTCCTCAGTTTCGGAGATATGACCCGATGTGCGCGCTCCATGCGCCGCTCCGACAACATGTGTGTATTGCGTGTATTGCGCCCTCTACAGTTTATGTCAGAAAACACACTGTAGTTGAGGCCAGTTGCTGTCGATTGCTTCCCTCACTCGTGAACAAGACCCCGAGATACTTGAACTCCTCCACTTGAGGAAGGACCTCTCCACCCACCTGTAGAGGGCAAGGCACCTTTTTCCGGTCGAGCCCCATGGCCTCAGATTTGGAGGTGCTGATTCTCATCCCAGCCGCTTCACACTCGGCTGCAAACCGCCCCAGTGCATGCTGCAGGTCCTGGTTTGTTGGAGCCAACAGGACAACATCGTCCGCAAACAGCTGAGATGAAATCCTGTGGTCTCCGAACCGGACCCCCTCCGACCCCTGGCTGCGCCTAGATATTCTGTCCATAAATACAGTGAACAGAACCGGTGACAAAGGGCAGCCCTGTCGGAGGCCAACATTCACCGGGAACAGGTCTGACTTACTGCCGGCAATGCGAACACAGCTCTGGCTCCGGTCATACAGGGATCGGACGGCCCTCAGCAGAGGACCTCCGACCCCGTACTCCCGGAGGACCCCCCAAAGGACACCCCGGGGAACACAGTCGAACGCCTTCTCCAAATCCACAAACAACTCAATGCAACTCATATGCGACGGATATAATCAGTTGCCAGTCCGATGTACGCTAGGCTTTAGATCTATCTTTGTTCCTGACATCAACGTAAACGACTCATTGTCCCATATGTTTCTACAGTCACTTGGGCGACGTGAGCGGTGAGGCCATGTGCTCTATGGGGATGTCGGCGGCCATTTCTCAGACAGAGATCATTGTGGGCTCTCCGGGGAGCTTCGACTGGCAAGGTACCACTATGGAACCACCTCTGCCCATCTACTCAGTATACATGCAGACCCAGACCTCTGTCTCAGTATACATGCAGACTCAGACCTCTCTTGTCTCAGTATACATTCAGACTCAGACCTCTCTTGTCTCAGTATACATTCAGACTCAGACCTCTCTTGTCTCAGTATACATGCAGACTCAGACCTCTGTCTCAGTATACATGCAGACTCAGACCTCTCTTGTCTCAGTATACATTCAGACTCAGACCTCTCTTGTCTCAGTATACATTCAGACTCAGACCTCTCTTGTCTCAGTATACATGCAGACTCAGACCTCTCTTGACTCAGTATACATGCAGGCCTCGGTAAACATGCAGAGACACCACTCTTCATCTATGGCTCTTTCATTTGCTGATGCTGCTCCTCACCTTCTGGGACCTGGGTTGATGATGCTTCTCTGTGTGCAGGGAACGTCCATGTGCTGTGGATGAACTCTGAGCTCATGTTCCACACACAGAGGAACGCCTTCGCCAACACAGAGCAGAGGAACATCTACATTGGTGAGTCAACGAGAGCCTGATGCGGCCTCAAGCCCACAGTTGCAATTACAGAGCCTCGGGAAGGGCCCCTCTGGACATTTTGACACTAATGCACTATTTAGTCAGGGGAAGAGGCTCTATCCTTGCCTAGCCTTAGCCATCCGTAACCTCTCCCATCCGACCATTCAGCCAGCGGGAGAGGCGGGTTTTGTAGGTAGGTGTCGGTGACATCAAGAGTTCGCGCCGAATTTTCTGATTGTAGTTTGGCAATGGCGGAGAATGGGACAGTAAAATAATCCGTTCTGGTTCGACTTCAACAGATTTTATTGCTGGCAAAGATGTTGTGGGTCTACTTCCCACGGGCTCCGTTAGTTGCATAGGAGATGGCTAAAGCTAGGCTAAATGCTAAATGTCTCACTCACTCGGGCGCACTGCATTAAGCCTAGCGTACATCGACAGAGAAACTGGGGACAACTCGTTGCAAGGCGGCTTTTGGCAACTGAGAGGAGATGATGGAGATGATCAGTTGCTGAAATCGGTCGATGTGAGCGCTCTTACAACTGGAGATAAACAGTCGGTCTCCAGTTTCAGTCAGTTGCCCGTGTTCTACTTTTCGGCAACTAGTTGTCCTCAGTTTCGGAGATATGACCCGATGTGCGCGCTCCATGCGCCGCTCCGACAACGTGTGTGTATTGCGTGTATTGCGCCCTCTACAGTTTATGTCAGAAAACACACTGTAGTTGAGGACAGTTGCTGTCGATGTACGCGCTGTTATTCCCGAGACTGGTCTGCTACTGGGAGTTGCCCGTTTTCAGCATTTTTTTAGCATTTACTCCCAGTGCCAATTTCTGGACCCAAATCTGCAAAAATATGTATTCAATGACCACCAACTCCAACCTCCAACTCATACAATTCAAAATCCTACACAGATATCACTACACCGGTTACAAATTATCAAAAATGGGATCCACTTCAGACATCTGCCCACACTGCACACAGGGTTGTAGGGACAATTACATTCACGCTCTTTGGCACTGCACTCCGGTCCAAGCATTCTGGAAAGCCATCACTCAATCACTCACCACTTCACTTGGCTGCAACATCCCAATGTCCCCATCCCTTTGTCTTCTAGGAGACATATCCACACTCCCCATCAACCAGGGTAATTCAAAGTATCTTTTAATGTCGCTAGCTATCGCCAAAAAAGCAATACTCATAAACTGGAAATCCAAAACCAACATACACACCTCCACATGGGAAAACTTAATGTCAGATTATATTTCACTTCAAGACATACCCCCCAACCACACCTCAGACAATACACCCCACGCATCCCAGACCCCAGTCATAAGCTAACCTTATATACTTTACCTATTTCCAATATTTATGTCATCGTGTATTTTGCACACCTCTCTCTCTCTCCCTGCTGCTACACCACTGTACCCCTGTTCATATATATATATATATATATATATATACATACATTCTACGGTGATATGTTGATGAGGAGGGAATAAGAATAAATTAATAAAGGAATTAATAATTAATAAAAATATATAAATAAATAACAAATAACAAAAATAATAAATAAATAACAAAAAATAAGTCCTCTTCCCACATGCATCTCAAGCACACACTTTTAATGCACAACATCCCAAACCTGTTTTTAATGCACCACACAGTCAGGGATGCTGCTGGAAGAGCAACACCAATCTTCTACCAACTCGCTCCCATCTCTGTGTGATTGAGAAGAATAATGCTCAAAATTGATTGATTGGATAAAGATTACTTACGGTCATACCAAAAACATTAATATGCCTAGTTATGGCTCTGCTACCCTCGTCACCAACATTACGACCACCCCCTCTATAAGATGAGATAAGATAAGATTGCTTTATTTATCTCACAATAAAAGAGAAATTTACATGTCACATTTGGCATGGATAGAGACACTCAGATTGTGCAAAGGGAGGAAATGTGCAAACATGTTACATGCAGGATATATATGTATATAACCACCCACTCTATAATCCCCCCTCCCTTGGATTATAGCACCTCAACTCGTCCTATGTTTTTACTATTATTATTATTACTATTATTATTATTAGTATTACTATTATTATTAGTCTCTCTCTTTTCTTTTTCCCCTCTCTCACTACCGGTCAATAAAAGAAAAACTTCAACAGCCTCAGATACCTATTCAATACACCAAAAGTGAACACGCACATACACACACACACACACACGCTCGCGCACGCTGAAACCCCCCCCCTGTCCCCCCTCCTGACCCTATGTAAATGCTTATATGTTTATGTAGGTTCATGTCTAAATGTACAAATGGGTCTATAATGTCTGTGCTGTAATATATTGTATACGCCAATTAAAAAAAAAGAAGAAAAAAAAGGAGTTGCCCGTTTTCGTCAGATTGTCGATATGTGCGGGGCAGCAACTCATATGCGACGGATATAATCAGTTGCCAGTCCAATGTACGCTAGGCTTTACAGATCTAATTGTTTCAAATTGCAAAGAAAAAGAAGTTAACCCCTCTGAAATGAGTAGATAGATCGATACTTTATTGATCCCTTTAGGAGAAATTCAGGTGTACGATGGTATGGTAAGACTAGGCTAACTATGTGTGGAACATAAAAACCACACAAATAGAACTATGTCATTAAATCCATGTATAGTGCCTCGTTCCTCTCCCTCAAAACAGTTTGCTTCTAACACCAGTATTTCAGGCTTCTGTTACATCTTTAGATCACATTTTTCAAACAGAAAAGTAAATAATAGAGGGACCACCTTTGCTCGGCCAATCATCTCTCAGCCTGAAGAGTCAAACAGTGTCAGTGACAGTAAAAGATGTTTTCTAATAAGATAAAGGCAGCATTTTGTGGGATGATTTTTTCACACTTTGTACTTTTTACACGGTGGGAAAAAGGCTAGAATTTTTTTTTGCTGATCGCCAACTTGATCTGTGGCCCGAGGGGGTTGTTGATGTGATGCTCCTGTGTCTTGTCCAGGATACTCTGTGGCCCTGGCCCCTCGGCTGCTCTCTCAACAACTGGACAGTATCATAACAGGTGAGATTATTATCATATCGTATGTCCTTTTTTCATCACTCCGGCGTCTCGCTTCTGTCCTTGCCGTTTGTGGAGAGAATGGAAAAATATCGCTGAACATTGTAAATTTGGGTGGCATTAGTTTGTAAAAGGCTCTATATAAATAAACATTACTTACTTCTTTTCTCCGATAGATCTGTGCGTCACAAACAGTAACTGCCTCCTCCTCCACGGTCCATCACACTCCATCATGTGTCATTGTAGAAAAAGGTTTTTTTTTTTTTCACATTTTCCTCAAATAAACCGAGGCAGGTCAAACAATCACCCATTGAGAAAAACACACTTCAATCAGCAATTGTCTTAGAGGAATTTACAAAGTTGTCAATTCGCCAAAAGCAGATCAAACAGTCAGAGAATCAAACCGTTAAAATACAGGATTTACAACAATAATAAACACATAAAAGCCATTGGTCCATAGGGAGCAGGGTGACTACTGTCATGGATCATCATCGTCACTAGACTGAGGCTGTAGATCCAGGACTGAGGCCGTAGATGCAGGACTGAGGCTGTAGAGGCTGCAGGACTGAGGCTGTAGATCCAGGACTGAGGCTGTAGATCCAGGATTGAGGCCGTAGATGCAGGACTGAGGCTGTAGAGGCTGCAGGACTGAGGCTGTAGAGGCTGCAGGTCCAAGACTGAGGCTGTAGACCCAGGACTGAGGCTGTAGATCCAGGACTGAGGCCGTAGATGCAGGACTGAGGCTGTAGATGCAGGACTGAGGCTGTAGACCCAGGACTGAGGCTGTAGATCCAGGACTGAGGCTGTTCCATATAATCAACCGACAATTCAATTGATTCATCCATCCATCAATTTTCTTCCCCTTAATCCATTTCTGGGTCGGGGGGTGGCAGTCAGAGCTGCATCCAGTTCACAGAGCACCAGCCCCTCATTGATCCTCCTGCAGGTGGTGAGTCCACAGGATCTGAGATCTTTCAGTTGGGGCTTTGGGCAAAGTAGGGTTAAGTGTCTTGCCCAAGGACACAACGACAGCAGTCATCAGTGGGAATCGTGAAGTAGGGCTTACGGTGGGCTCAAACCCACGACCTTCAGGCCCAAAGGCCAATGCTCTACCAACTGAGCTACTGTCGCCCTTGATTCATTATCTTTTTTATCTCATGTGTAGAGCCATAAGTCTCACCAGGCTGCTGTGTTTGATGGTTCACTTTCCCAGGCGCTCCCAAAGACAGTCGGCACGATGCTCGCGGCTCCGTCTTCCTGGCGCTGAAGTCCGGGGCCGGTCTCCAGATCCTGCAGCGCCTCCGAGGGGAACAGATGGGCTCCTACTACGGCAACGCTTTGGCAGTGCTGGACCTCAACAACGATGGGTAACAACTCACAACAAGAAAACGTTGTGTTCATTTAGAACCTTACGTATGAGAAAAATACTTTCAGCCATAATTATCGTGTTTATTTAGTGAATAAGTCATCTTTATTTAAATGGCACCAGACCAAGGTCTGTGCATTGTGGGATTGCATGACGTCATGTGCGGCGCTCACTGGGACTGTGTGGCTGTGCTCAGATGGAACGATCTGCTGGTGGGCGCCCCCTTCTTCTTCCAGCGGCAGCAGGAAGTGGGCGGAGCCGTGTACATGTACCTGAACAGTGGAGGCAGGTTTGACTCCAGGCCCACTCTGGTCCTCAGAGGCCCCTCGCTCTCAGCCTTTGGGATGGCTCTGTGTGCCGCTGGAGACCTGGACCAGGATGGATTCCAGGGTAAAGTCCTTTATGCCCTCACTCCTGGATCTCTCCTCTCCCCCTCTGCATCTGTGCATCTCATTGTCTTTTCTTCTTTCTTTCTTTCTCTGACTCCAGACTTTGTGGTGGGCGCACCGTTCCATGGCAGTGGCAGCGTGATGATATTTAACAATGGTCCTGATGGTGTCCCCTCTCAGCCTTCTCAGGTACCTCCAGCACCTGCTGCACCTGCTGCGTTTTATGGGCAAACAGTGTCCCTGTTTCCAAAGTTTGACCCGAATGTGATGTCATCATCATACAGATGTCAAATCCTTTATAAACAATGAGAAAACTGTGATAAAGTATTGAACACTTTTTAATAAATCTTAAACCTAATGACAAAACATTCAGCACTGACTTTAATGAAGTATTTGATCCCCTGTTCCTTTGGCCCCTACCACACACCCTCTGTACAAGTTGGTACAAGTTGATCCTGGACTCATAACCTAGTCTTTACTCTATCCTCATCCCTAACCCTTCTCCGCCCTGGACTGAGTCTTACTTGGTGATATCAGAACATGTAATATTGTAACGTCGCAGGTGATCCATGGGAGCAGCATCTCGCCGCACTTCAGGACCTTCGGCTTCTCTCTGGCCTCTGCTCAGGACGTGGACCACAACCATCACCCAGACCTCCTGGTGGGGTCTCTGGACGACTCTGCGGTGCTGCTCCGGTAGGTCCAGGCTCAGACCCGACACAGTACAAACACATAAACCCATTCTAGTGCATCATTAGAATAACAAAAATGTATAATGCACTGTAAAACACAATAGAATTCAGCTGTTTGAAAGTGTATTTTAGGTTAAATTGTTTTGCATTCTGTAATTGGTTGTCTTCAGTCTCAAGTGTAAAATGAGAGCAGGAAAGTGAATACATAAAAGAGTTATTGAAGCCTGTATTGTCTCTTACTATTGTCCTTTTAGTGGTCGTCCTGTTGTGGAGCTGAACCAGAGCCTCACTGTGAGCCCGGACATGGTGGATCCCAGCGACTGTGAATCCTGGTCAGACCTCACTCTCTCTTTGTCACTACACACTAATCTACAAACAGATTACCATGATGCTTGTATGATATATGATTCTAGTCCAATACTAGCCTGGTTGGATGCGGCTGATAAGTCTTTGACCTGATTTGAAGGTTGTAGGGAGAGGGACTGGAGGAGGCCATAACGCTCTTTGTCTCTTTGATTTTAAACTGTTTCAAATCTTGAAGTACTTTTGGTCTTCTACTTATGACTTAATGAACAAACCTGAGCGGATTCCAAATGTGAGTAGCACACTTGGATTGTGTCTTAATACATGGGGTGATGTGTTAGGATAAAGGAACTAGAAAAGCTCTCGCAGAACGCAGACCTCCGTGGATCTGTGCACAGGCCTCGTTCTCCTCGTGTCCTTTTTGTATCAAGATCAAAGCAGTCATTTTGGCCGCTGACTCCACCGCAGCACAGGCCAGTTCGTCCATTACATACACTGTAATATGTATGTACTACAGTATACAACTATGGCAGCACAGTGGCGCAGAAGTTAGCGACCTCCAGGCCTTTCTGTGGAGTTTGCATGTTCTCTCTGTGTCTGCGTAGGTTTTCTCCAGGTGGTCTGGTTTTCCCTACCACTGAAAACATGTACAATAGGTCTGGCATGTGCCCCCAGTGAGACAAATGCCCACAATTGTAAAGTGCCTTGTGACTCCGGTCTGTGAAAGGTGCTATATAAGTAAAGACTACTTACCTAAATTAGGAGTTATTAGCACTCTCCGAAAAAAAAGTCCTGGGTTCGAATCCCAGTTGGAACAAGGCCTTTAAAGTTTGTTTTATTTTCTCATAGTGTCTTGAAAGGTTTCCTCCAGGTGCTCCGGTTTCCCCTACCAGTAAAAACTTCTACAATAGGCCAAATCCTAACCGAGCAGAGCAACCACATGTTCTACGGTGGTCACTGCTTCTGACAGATTGGATGTGGCCAAGGAGGATGGATCAAATGCAGAGCACACTTTCTCCTTTAAATCTCCTCCAGACAGTCATGACCTCCAAAATGTTATCACTTGTTCACAGGACCATTGGACATTGTTTCAGAAATAAATGGTCCTTGTCTGAGAATTGTGTGAATGTCCCAACAGATTTGGAACTGAATGCAGGCTTTTGTCAGCTTACATCATCAGCTCATTACTATTGGCATCTTATAGATAATATACAGTATAATTGTTGATGATAAATATACTACAGTACGTATGTCCGAGCGACCTGAGCGACCTGACCTGACTAATGCCATCCGGAGATACTGCCGATTAAGATGGCCTTCGTCAGACGGTTTACTCCCACTCTGTCAAATGACAAAGCGACGACCCTGTCTCCACTTTGATTTGATTTTACAAAGTATCAAACCAGTCAGAGCCAGTTCAGTGCAGAGCTGCATGATGACAAGGTGGACACAGTATGCATGACTACTGGCAGACACAGACATTTTGAGCCATGAACCATAGGGGTGAATATGGAGGTATGAGTGTCGTCAATTACCAAGGAAAAAAAGGTTTTATAACAATAATAATGATAATAATAATTCATCAAACTTGTGGGTTTTGAGAAGTGATTTAAAGTTCTGTAGTGAGTCGGAGTTTCTGATGGGTTGTGCGAGTGAGTTCCAGAGAGTGGGGGCCGACGCAGCGAAGGCTTGGTCCCCCAGGTTCTGGGTTTAGTCCTGAGGGGAGTGAGGAGGTTGGAGTCTGTGGATCTGAGGTGCCGGGCGGGACAGTGACAATAGAGGAGGTCAGTGAGGTAAGAGGGGGCCAGGTTATGGAGGGACTGGTAGGTGAGCAGGTGGACCTTGTATTGGATGCGATATGGAACAGGAAGCCAGTGGAGTTGTTTGAGGACAGGGGTGATGTGGTCTCTGGAGCGGGTGTGGGTGAGCAGGCAATTACTTACTTACTTACTTACATAGATAAGAAGATATACAGTACATATTTGTCTCGACAGAAAGAGTCTTGTTTGAGTTACATTTTGGGCTGATTGGCTGAGTTAGGGGGCAACGATACATGCATGTGAAAACTTGTGATGGAACTGATATTGTCTTGAGATTTGGGTTCAGGTTACATAGATTTAGCATTTTTTTGTGGTTTAAAAGTTAGGTACAGTTAGGTATTGTCATCATACTCTTTTAGTCCTGTTTGAATGTTCTGTATGTGCTGGGACCAAAGAAAATCCCATGAATAATGTCTCTTTTGGATGTTGTCATCGTTTTCTCTCCTGTGTGCAGCATCCGAGTGACGGTCTGCTTCTCCTACTCTTTCGCGTCTGGAGGGGAGAGCGACAAAGACAACATCAGTGAGTCCCAGTCCATCCTCTCGTCCCCTCTGCCCAGTCCCATGTGCCCTGTGCCCTGTGACCTTTGCCCTGTGCCCTGTGCCCTTTGCCCTTTTCCCTGTCCCATGTGCCCTGTGCCCTGTGCCCGCAACAGCACAAGTGTATCCGCTTCATCCACCCTATTATCACCTCACCTTCACAAGTTCACAGTGTCATCCAGCCAACTTCAGCTCCACCATTATAGACATGTTGTATGTCATTGGAAAGCTGAGAACTTCTGGAATCCAGCCACTGACATTTATTATACTGACATGTTTTTGTGCCACAAAATTCTTGATATGGCGCTAATGTAGCCGGTTAGCTGGGGCCTATAATGATGCAGCCAATCTGTAATGTTTTTATTGTGTTTGATCTCCCCCAGAGAGCAGGAGAGAGTGTGGACAATCAGCTGAGGTTTATGTTTATGTGAACAGTAGTAGAGAGCCGACACGAGGAGATGCACAAAATACGAGGCACTTGTTTCTTATGTGATTAGGGCTTATGGCCTTATTATTTTTAGTAGTACCAGTTTTAGTAGCTAAATGACACAGATTTAGTCCCACCTACTGGATTGGTTTAGCTCCATCAGCTGTTGGTTAAGTGTACAAATGAAAACGTGTGGCTTAAATGAGGACATACAAATATAAATGTTTATATACGGGTACCCTTTACTTTTGTCCACTTGTGCCCAGCACGTACTAGATTCTCTACTTACTGATTTTATGTTCACTTCTAATACCTGTAATTCTAAAACGGATTGAAAGTCGTTGTCTGGACTCGCCGTACACCGCTTGCCCCTACATTACTCAGTAACTAAACTAAAGGTGCATCTGAGCAGGGTCTGGGAGTGTTGATGGATGGTGTGTCTTCTGTATGTCCCTTCGTCCTCTGCTAAATGCTCCACGACGTCACAGCCCCCACCTGCCCTTGTCTGTCCTTGGCTCTAGAACACTGGCATGTCACATAAAACAATGGGACGGGGAAATGAGGGGCTCTCTGCTGCCTGAACGTCTTTGTGTCTTTGCCACAAATCATTCACGACAAATATTCAAAAACAATATAAATATATACATTCTTTTGTGGGAAACAAGAGCAGAGTTAATGAGCTGGAGGAGAATGAAATTTCCCAGTTTGCAGTAAAGAAGTGGAAAAGTACAGTTTCACCTGGACTCAGCCTCAGGTTTACCATGGTGCGTGCGTGTACAGTATATACATGGCACTTTCCACGAGTGACATGTACATTCTGTTGGATTATGTTGGGTGGGTCTGTTGGGTGCATTGGTTAATGGATCAATGGGCATTATTTAGATTTTTTTTGAAAATGCGGGAGTTGTGTGTGACCCCTCTCTCCTGTGTTGTCTCTGTGTCTGCTTGTAGCGATGCAGTTCCGGCTTGGTGCTGATGTGAGCAGCCTGAAGCCGCGTGTGCGTTTCTCCAGCAGTGGACGGAGCCATGTGTGGTCCCATCTGTCCATGCCCCGGGACCACTGCACCACGCTGAGGGCGGGACTGCTGGTACGGACCCGTAGCAGGGCACAGTCCAGTATCTGTTGCAGATGTAGATAGGGACAAGAGACACTAAGGCCCCGTTCAGACGGAGACGCTGCAAAACAATTTGAAAAAATGACCAGGCTCCGTATTCAAAGGGCTAAGCGTCCACATGAAGACTGATAGCATTGTAGTTCCAGTGCCCGGCCAGTAGGGGGCAGTTGAACTTTACAACAGGCGCCGCAAAGACGTGAAAGAATGCACCGATATCAGTGGCAGCAAAAATAGAAACTGAAACTACAGCTTTGCATTGTCTCATTTAAACAAACAAAGGAGTAGAATTATCCTCCGTGTAGCGCTCAAAGCACACCCAGTATTAGCCGACCCGCCGCCATCGACCCGCCGCCATTGCTATTTACGTTTGTTCTCGGCTACTGCGCATGTCAAAATGTACGTGGAAGAAGTGCTGAAGTCACAGCAGCAGAGAATTCACACCTCTTCCTTACAACAGCTGTGAAACAGCCCCCTGCAGCGCAACGTTTTTCTGACATTTAATTTCCTGTGTTTGACTGTCTGATCTGTGTTACTGTAACTACTGTAGTGAATATGGGCTTTACAAAAACACACTGAACTGAATTGACTTGCTCTCAGCTGGCGCCTGCCTGTGCAGAGTCCTGTAGATGTCCTCAGAGTGATCTCTCTTCCTCTTGGTCAGGGTTCGGGTTAGAGTCAATGAAACCGTGGGTCCACGCGCTGCACATGATCAGAGGAATGTGGAGCTTACCTGCCTCAGAGCACAGCTTCAACAGTGCGAGTCCGGTCAAAGCACAGCATTATTCCACCTGTTTTAGCTTTGAGCCATGGCCCAATACTTGCGCTAGAGTCTTTGAACCATTTTAAACACGTTCCTCTTGTGTAATATCACGGTGCTTGAATGTATCTACATTTTTAGTATCAATGAAACAAGCATGGTTTTTGTTCTTGGTAAAAGTCAAATAGATCTGGTCCATTGGAAAATCGTATTTCAAGAATTATGGCTCATATGGTCTGACTCTACTCTACTCAGCTCTGCCTGCTTGTGTTTCCATGACACTTTAGGATCTGGTACTGTACAGAAGCAATCTACCCACAACAAACCGGTATTCAGGGAAATTCCATGGTAACCATGGCTTCCAGCAGCCCTAGGTACCAGTTTAGCGGAGCTGGTGGAAACAGTCCCAATCAGGGTAGATCCGAGTAGTGCTTGGTTGATCCTTCACTGCCACTAGGGTCAGGAGCAGGCCCCATCTCCAGGCGTGGATGCTCGGCCTCGTCAGGACGTTTGCCCGAGAATTCATCATGGTGCATGTTTTGGGTAATGGAAGAAATCAGAGTGGAAGTGGAAACTACGGATGTATTATATTATCTGGATAGAGTACTGAGTGGGTCTTCCGCATGGTGGTGGTCCTGCGGAAGTAGAACCAATGCGCACCAACTGCACACAACCGGGAGGCCGAGAGATTATGTCACGTAAGCTTGTATTCATGCCTTCATGGTTTGAGCAAGTCCCAATGAGCACAGGCCATTGATTTGAACGTGCAGACATCTTGGGCTGCCGGGACTCGGTGGAACACTGAGGCATGAATCGTTCCCTCTGAGCCTCTGTGCTGCCTTTGAATTGAAAATATTCTGACAGTAATTTAATATAATATCTTATCCAATGCCTTGTCTCAAAATCTTCATCCTCAAACTTGCCTACTCCACAATATCCAGTTTACCATGGGGTCCACTTCAGGCACTCACAGTGTTTTACAGGAATATCATTGTTGCTTTCATTGCTTTAGTTACATTAGATAACTTTTTTTTTTCTTCTAATCAGATCACCGTGTAGTAATGTAGTTGTTAAATGCAGAACTTCTTGCAGTTACGACTGACATCTTGCAGTTGTCTTGACAGAAGAATAATCGAGCTGAGATAATTGGTACGATTTCCTCAGATGCCGCTGAGAGATCAAGTGCAGCCTCTGGTGTTTTCTCTGAACGCTTCCCTGGTTCACAAACTCCACAAGAAACGAAGCGGAATGCAAGATTTGAGGCGTTTTCCAGTGAGCAGCCGGCCACTTGCACCGGTCAGGCATCAGGTGATTAAACTCACTCGTCCCATCACACTGACTGAGCTGAGAGACGGCACGGCTTGTTTATTTGTATAATTCAATCTGGAGAGCATACAAAGACACACATTTCATTAAATGGATTTATTCATTCGTTTGTTTGGCACCCTAGGTCCCGGCGGTGGCATTTTGTCTGAAGATCATTCCTTGTGTACCGCTTATAATCCCCCGGGACCTAGGTACTGGTGGTGGCATAAGACCTAAAATGAATGATGACACCAGAACGAATTCCTTGCGAGGCTTGAAAGGGATTCATTTTTGGGAAGTTTCCTCTTTAGGGTGAAAGGGGCCCTCTTTGTTGGGAAGCAGGAGGGAGACTGAGTCCCAGCAGGAGGCCAGTCCCTGTGCTCCTCAGAGTCCCAGCAGGAGGCCAGTCCCTGTGCTAACAGTCATGCCTTAAAGTAAACACGGGGTCCCCCTTGCTCTCCCCTTGTCTCCCCTGGACCCTGCTCTCCCCTGGCCCCCGGCTCTCCCCTGGCCCCCTGCTCTCCCCTGGTCCCTTGCTCTCCTGCTCCTCATGTCTGAAAGTATGAAAGTCCTCTGTCACGACAAAACTAGTCATAAATCCTCGTGTGAAATATGCCAACAGATTCATATTCAGAAGGCGTGTGGAAATGACAACCGTTGCCATAGCAACCTGCAGATGACAGCGCAGTTCACCGATGACATGAAGAGGCCTCTCGACATGTGAGTCCCGCTGCAAAATCACTACATTTACATTGGATTTAAATATCGGCATCATGTCAGACATTAGTTTTAAGTCGATCAGTCCATTTTTACAAGTTTATTTACATAGCACGATTCATCCACTGCAACCAAAAGTTCTTTACAAAGACATGAAATTCTACACAAAAAAAATTCGGCTATTTGTATGATGACGCAAGTTTCTGTGTGTGAGCGATCATGTGATATCTCCATGATTGCAGTTCAGCAGTCGTGAGTTCAGGTGGTATTAAATATTAAAACATTTATTAAAACATAAAGCTGCCACTTCAACAATGTTGCTTATTTGTTATTTTCAGAACATGCTCTACAGTCAGCATAATAAACAATCAAACAGTCATGATAATACAAAATCAAAATAATTAGATTAAATAGTAGATACAGGAAGACAAAGCAGACAGAGCAACAGACAGACAAAACAATGACGGAGTGGAACATTAAAATACAAAATGTGAAGTTCAAAACAAACAGTTACAAGCTGTTTTATAAAAGTGGGTGATAAGAAGTGATTTCTAGTACAAGTTTGAAAAATGCGCAAATAGACAGAAGGGCCGGGGGCGTGTCTGTGGCAGAAGTTCTCGATATGAGCATGGATGGAGCTAAAAACAACTCCAATGAGAAAGGACCACTCAGAGCCACTGTCCTGTCCTGCAGTGTGGCGGGCGGGCACCAGCGTCTGCTCCTGGACTCCAGTCTCAACCTGCTGATGCTTTACGTCAATGTCACCAACCAGCCGTCGCCCTGGAAACCCTCCAACCAAACTCACCACAGCTCGTCTCCGTGGCGACCTCTGGACAACGCCCTGTCGCCATGGAGAGTAGCGGAGGACGCCCACAGTGTGTCGCTGACCGTGAGCATCCCCCCCTCTCTGGTGTATTCTGGAGTAAGGGCCAAGGTAGGGACCCATGCCCAGTGTGCGGGACAGGGAACGGACAGGGACCACACTGGGACCACACTGGGACCACACTGAGACCACACCTGGACTTCACTGGGACCACACTGGGACTACACTGGGACCACACTGGGATTACACATGGACCACACTGGGATTACACATGGACCACACTGGAACCGCACAGGGACCACACTGGGACCACACTGGGATCACATTGGGACCACGCTGGGACCACACTGAGATCCCACTGGGATCCCACTGGGACCACACTGGGACCACACTGGGACCACACTGGGACCGCACTGAGATCCCACTGGGATCACACTGGGACCACACTGGGACTGCACTGAGACCACACTGGGACCGCGCTGAGACCACACTGGGACCGCGCTGAGACCACACTGGGACCGCGCTGAGACCACACTGGGGCCGCGCTGAGACCACACTGGGACCGCGCTGAGACCACACTGGGATCACACAGAGACTGTGAAGAAACAGCCTAGCTAATATTATACATGTACTGTATATATTAGCTAGGCTAATATATAATTTACTACGTTTTAGATTTACAAAAAAATATCTCTATAATAAAATTCACGTCACTAGTTCCTGGCTCTAAAACAGTTTGCGGTCTGTCATCTGTCTGTTCCAGGGAGCTTCTCAGGCCGTGCGCTGCTCTGCGGAGGGAGCAGCTCTCCTCTGTGACCTGGGGAACCCTCTGAAGGCCAACCAGCAGGTGCCCCCTCACACTGAATAAAAAAAGTTCAGGAGACAAGAGGCACCAGTGAACCCCACTGATCCCAAAGCCCCACCACCATGAGGGGCCTACCACCATGAGGGGCCCGGCTTCAGCAGCAATATCCAGATAATATAATGCATCCATGGGTCATAGGTGGGGGCTTATTGGTTTCTGAAAACTGGCTGTGCATGAATCCAGCACCCACTGTGGTCTATAGACTCCTGCTGTGGTTCCAGGGAGTGTAACATCACGGATATATTAGTGTAACATTCAAGATGATGTGATGTTTCACATAAAAGCTTCAATTTTTTTTTTTGTAATTCACAATTACTAATGATATAACTACTACTTATATACCTTGTACTTATCCTACTGTACAAATGTATCCATGGTAATGCTGCTGTTTGCTCTGCAGGTGGAGGTGTGGATCCGGTTGCAGCCGTCAGAGGCCAGTCTGAGGAGCAGGCAGATCACCAGCCAGCTGCAGCTGTCCACGTGGGTCACCATGACATTGGCTTCTTCTTTTTTTTAATCAACATTTGAATAATGGAACAAAATAAGCAACTTGTGCCTGTGTTGTGTCTCAGGCTGAGTGAGCAGTGGGACCTGTTCCCTCTCACCGTCTCCATGTTGGTGGAAGTGTCTCTCCAGGCCTCGCTCTCGCTGTAAGTATCACTCTGTGGGTCTGAGAGCCACTGATGGGATCTCACTCAGTCAAACACAGATACAGATGAATGGGATGTGTATCTTTCCAGGAGGCAGACTGCATTTGCAACAGTTCTCATTCTCATCATACACTGACACAAGAGGAAGACTTCAGGCCTGGTCTTAAATGAGACGTGTGTTTCTGCCACAGGCTGAGTGCTCCAGGCCCCATCTACTTCAGTGGTCATGTGACCGGCGAGTCTGCCATTCAGAAGACCTCGGAGATCGGCTCTTTAGTCACATTGCACTTCCAGGTAAATACTTTTATTCTTTACACATTACTAAATATTAGTTTCAGGTCTGAATAATTTATGTTGGTATGATAAATGCAATTCTGTTCTAAATGTTTTGATACAAGGAAGCAGAACATAGTGCTCATCAGGAGGACTAAGGATAAGCACACATCTAACAAGATAATAATCTATTAAAGACAATAAATTATAAATAGATGAAAAACTCTCGATTTAAAATTGCAGTTGGAGTCTGTAGCTTCAGATCATAAAGGTTCACTTATAAAGTACACACTGTTGTCATACTGTATTCAGTGAATTTGACATAATAATAATCATAATAATAATAATAAGGCATCTAAACTACTACTGTAGCCACAGCTGCCCTGGGGCACACTGACAGAAGCGAGGCAACCAGTCTGTGCCACAGTCCATTCACACTCACACCAGACTCATTCTATATTAGGGTGAGAACCTCAGGGTACCTCACGATACGATACGATGCGATACAAAGCTCACAATAACGATAATCTCACGATGACGATGCAGCGATTATTGATATATTGGTCAAAAATATATCTACAATAATATTTTTCTTATATTTATGGCATAAATGAAGTGAAAAAATACGCTTTATTTCAAGATAAATGGATAAAGTGTTGTGTGTAACATTAAAGTGAACAAGCAAAAATGCCTTAAAATCAATATGAACATTCTACAGAAATAGTAGAATGTGTAATGTAGCCATGTATTAAGTATTCATAGTTTGTTTTTTTTTATAGTTTTTTTTTCATTTGATACTTAGCAAAGCATATTGATAATCGATCGCGTGAGAAAGTATCACGATACATCACCATATCGATATATTGTCACACTCCTATTCGATATATGGACAGTATATACATTCAGGACAGTTACCACTATTAGCACACACATGAGTTTACATGACTCAAACACAGGTCTGCACACTCAGTTGTATTCTTTCCACCAGGTTCACAGAAGTGGGCGGTCTCTGCACCAGCCTGGGGATCTCATGCTGGTGTTTGATTGGCCACTGGAGTTGATGAGTGGGAAGTGGCTGCTGTACCTGAGCCGGGTGGAGATAACGGAGACATCCACCCAACTGTGCTCCCCATCCGCCGCACTCAACCCCCTCGGACTTACGGTTAGCACCAGACTCACTGTACAGGAGGCTAGCCCCGGAGTTCTGTGGCATGCTCGCACCATGGACGTCCCAAACATTGGCAGAATCGCACATGCGTAATTCGATTAGTAAATCCAAATGAGTCACCTGTGACCCCTGGAGGACGACCCGGAGGTAATATAGTCCAGCGTGATCCATCCTCTGTTCCTGCAGAACCTTCCCGCTGAAACGCTAGGATCCTGAGTGACATCCCGGATCCAATAGCGGTCATCGCTGATTCATAGAATCTATTTCATCCTTCCTGACAACCTGAGGGCGGTGCATTGCACTGAATGACCTAATACCAGCTCTGTCATGAAGGATCCAGACCACATACCTCAAGGAAGCGTGTCAGAGGATTCTGGAAGGACCACTCCAAGAGGAGCAGGAGTGGCCACGTTGACATGATAGAATCTGGTGAACTTTCTTGGCATAGCCAAGCCACAGCAGCACAGATAGTCCCTGGACTAGAGCCCTGACCTCGAACGGCAGGTTGTGGTCGGCTGACGGAAAGCAAACTGTCGAGCTGAGCACCACCAGTCACGGGCGACGCCAGTCACGGGCGACGCCAGTCACAGGTGACTTATTTGGTATTGCTACTCGAACTGCACATACACAAAGGGAACACTCAGTGTTATGCACTGCCCAGTGCTGGTCAGGAAGGATGAAACCGAACCCCTCACGATACACTTCAAACACTTTTCTAACTACCTTACTCACAACGGCTGAAGTGCGATCACAGATATCAATCGTGTTGTAGGCCTGAGCGCTGTGGCATCGACTGTAGCCAGAGCTAGCCTGGGGCAAACTGATGAAAGTGAGGCTGCCAATCTGGGCCATCGGTCATACTGTATATTTCACCACTGTGGGACATTGTTGGATGCATTGTTTCCTTTGTATCTTGAAAGACAAGTTTTTCAGATTCACCTTCAGTGTGTGGCTTAAAGCAGGTCTCTTTTATAAGGAAAGGATGTGCTTGGCTCAGGTTTCGGATGAGGAGGAGGAGGAGAAGGAGGTGCTCAGGAAGAGGAGGGAGGTGCACCAGGATTTGGAAAAAATGAAGACATCAGCTCCCATCGTCCGTCCATCGTCTCACAGAAAGATGTCCCACACTCTGGTAAACACGACTGTGCCAAATACGGCATTAGTGCTGTCCAAATATCCAACAGTGAAAGCAGAGAGAAGAGCTGTTTTAACTGGACAGGGCTGAGTGAACGCGCAGATGGAGAATCTGTTTGTGTGTGTTGCAGGCGTGTGGGACCGGGGCCCGCTGTGTCCCGGTGGAGTGTCCCCTCAGAGACATAAACGACAGTGTGACCATCAGTGTCAAAGCGCGCCTCTGGAATTCCACTTTTCTAGAGGTACTTTTTTCGATCATACTTCAGTTTAGCCCTCACTAATTAACAGCTCATTAAGTGCTAATTAGTGTATCATTTATGGTTAATTATTGCTTAATTGGTTGAGCGGCATGGGACCTGAGTGGATAGCCCTTTCACTTCTCAGCAAGAAGGTCCTGGGTTCGAATCCGGAACAGTGCCTTTCTGAGTGGAGTTTGCATGTTCTCCCCGTGTCTGCGTAGGTTTCTTCCGGGTGCCCTGGTTTTTCCCTAACATTAAAAACATGTGCAATAGGTCTGGCATGTGCCTGCTGTACTGGCGGCCCCGCTCTCTGTGTGGAGTGGGAGACAAATGCCCACAATTGTTAAGCGCTTTGTGACCCTGCTCTGTGAAAGGCGGTGTATTAATAAAGATGACTTACTTACTTACTTAGTACTTATTAGTCCTTATTCTACATGGCCTTATTCAACCTATATTAGCTGTTACCTAGTGAAGGCTAATACGTAAGGGATAATGTACAGTACGCTGCATAAACTTCAGTCTACTTTTATGAATTCCCGAAAGGTTTATTTAATGACTGCAGATAAAATAGTTCCCAAAGGGGTTCCCTTGGCTATGCGAGAAACAGTTAGGCTAGTAACAGTTAGGCTAGCAACGTCAACACGGAACAAAGAATTCTGAACATCAGCGGTGAGTGACCGAGACATAAACTCAACCTAAATCCATAATCAGATCCTCTGAAAATGTGTCTTAAAATGTTATTTCATGTTAATGGTTACTTCTGGGTTTACCACAATCACTTTTGTCACATTAAAACAGTTTTTTTGTCTCGAAAACTGGACACGACTGAATGAAAGCAGACAGAAAGCTGGTTACGACTTATGAAGGAGAGCGTCCTCCTCCCACACGCCCTGCGGAGGCTGACAGCTCTTGGTCTGTTCTAGGACTTTGTGGAGGCCAGCTCAGTGAGTGTCGTGGGAAGAGCCACTCTACAGCTACAGACGGAGCAGCCTGCAGTGAACATGAGGCCCCAGAGCGTCCAGGTACAGCGCCCCCTAACTCTCACTGCACACAGCAGCAGACAGGCAGAGAAAATCTGTGTCGACTAATTACATTCAGGCATCTGATTGGACAATGCTTACGGCTCATATCTAGATTTTTCAGGTGAGTGTGACACAAATGGTTAGTGATCTAGCGGAGTTTACTTTTCAACGTAAGTCAATAGAAGCCAGAGCGAGTTGGAGCCAAACTTCACCATGAGCACTTCCCTGTTGGGCTTCACTGAGTCCATCTATATACAATCTATGGTCAGGCCTCCGCTGCTCACTCCACTTGTCCCTCCCATCTCATCTGCAAGGCAAGCCATAGATCCATGCCTGGGTCTCCAATCTGTGTTATGTGTGCACTCTGACCAATCAGAGCAGAGCGAGTGTGGGACAAGAGCGAGCCGAGTTTGTGGCTCTAACCCACTAAGCAAGCCGACGTTGAATCAACGTAATTTGAACGTCGTTGTCCGACGTAGAATATAGGTCACTGGTGGGTGCAGAATTAAAGTTTTCTCGACGTCGTTTCCCGACGTCACCTCAACCTCCAAATGTTACGTTGATGGCACGTCAATTCAAGGTTTGAATGTGGTACGGAACCGGTCGAGTCTGACGTCCTATCAACGTCTCATATGACCAAAATATTGACGTTTATATGACGTTCGTTTTCAGTCGTTCCCACTAAGCAAGCAGATGTCAAAACTATGTCATTTCAACGTCATCTGGACGTTCATTCAAGGTTGCAATGTGGTACAGAACCGGTCGGGTCCGACGTCCTATCAACGTCTTATATGACCAAAATATTGCCTTCATATGACTACCTTGCTTGCTACCAGCTGATGCAGCTAACAATAACAAAAATAACAACTGTAGTGGCTCATTTAAACAGCCGCAGTGAGAAGAAGTGGAAGTCTGACATCCAAGGACCTGGGAAGACATTAAATCCATTTATTAAACAAAGCAATACATGAACATTAAACTCTCTTTCTGCAGCAGGTAACATCTGTGTGCTCCTATGGTCCCACATGGTCCCACACCTGAACTCAACTGCAACTGATAAAAGATGGGAGTGTCCCAAATATTAAAGCTGATCTCCTTGTTTTTAAACTTAGTAAACTAAGTACTGTTGTCTTTTTGCAGTTTATAAACCATTGTGAAATATACAGTAACTTTACATTTTGGAATTGAATTATTATTTTAAAACTCAAGAATCTTAACCTTTAACACATAGTTTGTTGGACAGTCTAACCTAAGAATTCTAATGTGTTAAAAATAGTTTGAAATATGAAAAACAATATCATATTTTAAACTTTAACTTAACTCACTGACTGCCAGGCATTTTCAGATTTGAGAAGTGCGTTCTGCCAGCAATTTCAGGTGATTTGACCCAACTTTGAAGTGCCACAAAATATTCATTTTTTAGACAATGTAAACACCAAGGGCACCAAATTAAAGATTAACCTCTCTGCTTTACTCTGAAAAAAAACAGTTTGTTTCTACCTCTCACCGTTCTTGAGCTATTCGCCATAGAACAAAGCATACTTTCACCCACAACACCTGGTCTGAGCAAGAAAACAGAGAAAACGAGCTGTATGTAAACAGGAACATATCAAGCAGAAAAGAGACTTTTAGATGCATTTTTGCTGCTTTAGTGACAACTCAAAACATCTTCACACTTGTTCCATTACAAAAATTATAAAAACATGACTCTGAAATAATACTTTTGATGGCAAATTGTTGGCAATTTATTCACAGATAGAAAATTTTACTTTCTTCTATTCCATCAACCAAAACGTCAAACAACAACAACACAAAGATCAATAAAACTATAGCTGTATAAAATAGAATGAAGCGTGTGAATTTGAGTGTGTGTGTGTGAATGTCAGTGTGCGAGTGAGTGTCTGTGTCTGTGTGCGTGTGAGTGTTCGTGAGTGTGTGTATGAGTGAGTTTATCTGCTTTTTCAGTCCTCCCAGTAGTTCAGCTTTGAGTTGTAGAGGTTGAAACACTGTGTGCAACGGAACACGACACGCTGTGTACCATTTGTAGTTCTCCCTCCGTGAAGAAGAGCTCCAGAAAGTCTGGATCAGATGAATCCAGCTCCAGAAAGTCTGGATCAGATGAATCCAGCTCCAGAAAGTCAGCTGGATCAGATGAATCCAGCTCCAGAAAGTCAGCTGGATCAGATGAATCCAGCTCCAGAAATTCAGCTGGATCAGATGAATCCAGCTTCGCAGCCTCTGTCCGCAGCCTCTGTGGTCCAGCAGCTCCTGTGAAGGGACTGACTCGGCTCCCACTGATCCTCCTGTCAGCCATCTTCCCCAGAGCTTCTGGGTGACGAACGTGCTGGAAAATGGATACACACAATAACTATATTATACAGTGAATTTGTTACAATAAATCAATACATAAAATACAATGAAGGCCTTCCTCCCACATTATTGACTGACTGCTTTTGGACGAAACAAGTATACTATATTTTTATTATTATATTATATTGCCATGGGATGTACAAGAATAGAAATAGTAGTCCTTTTACCTTTTTTGTGCACAGCAACTGCCTCTCGATGCACCACCTGTAAATAATATAAATTTGTAAATCACTATACCAGGAGAATATATACAATAATATGTACAATGGTATGAGGAGGCATTATCTTTACCTCTGCTCCTTGCCCTGTCAACCCCAATGGGGGAGGGCTCTTTTATCAGAATCTGTGAATGAACACATTTCATTTAGTCAGAGCTATGACACTACAACAAGATGTTCAAGTATGAAATAACTAAACATAAAAATAATAAATACAACAATGATAAAACGCATAACGGGCATTTACTAAAGAAACATTAGGATTTGAGCACTGTGTTACTTAGCAGATCAGAGCAAGTTTCCGCGCCTTTCAACTCGTGGATGGAGCTGCCATCGCCCTCATATTTGGATTTTGGCTGGCCACAAGACAGGCATTTCTTTGTGTGGGGTTTATTTGCTGGAGGCTGCTGCTGCTTTTCCAAGATCCGCTGCACAACCTTCTCTATGGCCTCCTCAGACAGCGGTGACATTAGAGTGACAGCAGGCGCTGTGCTGGTCTTACTGCCTGCTGTGAGCGATGTACTCCCCCAGCACTTCAGCCTTGTCTGAGGCATCACCTCCTCTCACTCGCACCAGAGTGAGGGCGTTCTCCCTCACCACCTCCTCCCTCAGAGGAGCACCGCACTCCGTCATGGACGGGTCGTCCCTGATCTTCCTCGCCTCCTCCGAAGGGTCCTGCAGCAGGAATCCACGTGGGCCCTTGCGAAAAATCACAGTGACGCGGCCAGGAAAGAATGAAAATGTCTTCATATTGTCTGCAACAACAAAAAAAGAACATAAAATATCTAGCTATAGCATGATAGAGAAGTATGTATAATGTATATATCTTTAGCATAATAAAGAAGCATGAATCCTGTATAATCTAGAGAAGACATATACAGTTGTATGTTTACATCTGGACATTAGCAGCATGAGGCTCTGGGATACAGTAAGTACAGTTATAGAAGGAAAATATGAACTGGTAAAACACTAATACATTGTCGTAAACTAACTGCATATAATTCATTTTCAACTCAATGTGTTGCTGAACTATAGAAATGTGAAATACATATAGATAGTACACACATCAACGATAAGCATACTGTACACTACAGTACAACAGATGGAGCAAACTGTATTATATTTATGAGACAAAAGTGAACAGAGAAAGAGCACAGTGACAACACTGAGCCAAACTCACAGCAGCACTTATACACAGCCTGTTACGACAACTATGTGCATTAAACTTATTTAAAGTGCATTTGATCTGTATACAGTGTGCTTTAGCTCACGTGTGTACATCCCAAAACACCGCGTTAACTAGCGCTGGAAATACTACTACAACCAGACGTAAACAAACTGCATTACTGTATACAGTAGAATACAGTGAATACAGATTGTTTGTACAACGCAGAGAAAGTGTTTTCTTTACAATATTGATCCAAACAGAGAGATCTACGAGCAGCAGCAGCAACAAACATATGACACGGAGGTAAACAATCATAAACAGCGCACTGCACACTCGAGATATAAACTACAGACGTGTGTGAACGATCTACGCACAATATGAGAGATTTATGGAGTGAAACATAAAGAACGGGCACAAAAACATTGTGTTTATCAGAGGAGACTTACCGAGTGCGTGTGTAATCCACAATGAATGGAGAAAGCCGGCTCTGGCTCTCTCCGTTTTAGAGCAGCTGCTCTAAAACGGAGAGAGCCGGCTTTCTCCATTCATTGTGGATTACACACGCACTCGGTAAGTCTCCTCTGATAAACACAATGTTTTTGTGCTCGTTCTTTATGTTTCACTCCATAAATCTCTCATATTGTGCGTAGATCGTTCACACACGTCTGTAGTTTATATCTCGAGTGTGCAGTGCGCTGTTTATGATTGTTTACCTCCGTGTCATATGTTTTTGTTGCTGCTGCTGCTGCTGCTGCTCGTAGATCTCTCTGTTTGGATCAATATTGTAAAGAAAACACTTTCTCTGCGTTGTCAAACAATCTGTATTCACTGTATTCTACTGTATACAGTAATGCAGTTTGTTTACGTCTGGTTGTAGTAGTATTTCCAGCGCTAGTTAACGCAGTGTTTTGGGATGTACACACGTGAGCTAAAGCACACTGTATACAGATCAAATGCACTTTTAATAAGTTTAATGCACATAGTTGTTGTAACAGGCTGTATATAAGTGCTGCTGTGAGTTTGGCTCAGTGTTGTCACTGTGCTCTTTCTCTGTTCACTTACTATTGTCTCATAAATATAATACAGTTTGCTCCATCTGTTGTACTGTAGTGTACAGTATGCTTATCGTTGATGAAAAAAAAAAAAAAAAAAAAAAAAAAAAAAAAAAAAAAAAAAAAAAAAAAAAAAAAAAAAAAAAAAAAAAAAAAAAAAAAAAAAAAAAAAAAAAAAAAAAAAAAAAAAAAAAAAAAAAAAAAAAAAAAAAAAAAAAAAAAAAAAAAAAAAAAAAAAAAAAAAAAAAAAAAAAAAAAAAAAAAACAAAAAAAAAAAAAAAAAAAAAAAAAAAAAAAAAAAAAAAAAAAAAAAAAAAAAAAAAAAAAAAAAAAAAAAAAAAAAAAAAAAAAAAAAAAAAAAAAAAAAAAAAAAAAAAAAAAAAAAAAAAAAAAAAAAAAAAAAAAAAAAAAAAAAAAAAAAAAAAAAAAAAAAAAAAAAAAAAAAAAAAAAAAAAAAAAAAAAAAAAAAAAAAAAAAAAAAAAAAAAAAAAAAAAAAAAAAAAAAAAAAAAAAAAAAAAAAAAAAAAAAAAAAAAAAAAAAAAAAAAAAAAAAAAAAAAAAAAAAAAAAAAAAAAAAAAAAAAAAAAAAAAAAAAAAAAAAAAAAAAAAAAAAAAAAAAAAAAAAAAAAAAAAAAAAAAAAAAAAAAAAAAAAAAAAAAAAAAAAAAAAAAAAAAAAAAAAAAAAAAAAAAAAAAAAAAAAAAAAAAAAAAAAAAAAAAAAAAAAAAAAAAAAAAAAAAAAAAAAAAAAAAAAAAAAAAAAAAAAAAAAAAAAAAAAAAAAAAAAAAAAAAAAAAAAAAAAAAAAAAAAAAAAAAAAAAAAAAAAAAAAAAAAAAAAAAAAAAAAAAAAAAAAAAAAAAAAAAAAAAAAAAAAAAAAAAAAAAAAAAAAAAAAAAAAAAAAAAAAAAAAAAAAAAAAAAAAAAAAAAAAAAAAAAAAAAAAAAAAAAAAAAAAAAAAAAAAAAAAAAAAAAAAAAAAAAAAAAAAAAAAAAAAAAAAAAAAAAAAAAAAAAAAAAAAAAAAAAAAAAAAAAAAAAAAAAAAAAAAAAAAAAAAAAAAAAAAAAAAAAAAAAAAAAAAAAAAAAAAAAAAAAAAAAAAAAAAAAAAAAAAAAAAAAAAAAAAAAAAAAAAAAAAAAAAAAAAAAAAAAAAAAAAAAAAAAAAAAAAAAAAAAAAAAAAAAAAAAAAAAAAAAAAAAAAAAAAAAAAAAAAAAAAAAAAAAAAAAAAAAAAAAAA